AATGGAGATAGTTACAACTTACAAATATCTGAAAAGAATAATTACTAACGATGAAAAAAAGACTGGAAAATAAAAAATAGAGCAAAGAAATTAAACAATCATAACGCTATACTATGCGTTAGCCCTAATACTGTACAAAAGAAAACTTACACAAAAGACAAGGATAAAACCATATAACACAATAGTGATATGGACTGTGCTTTATGTAAGTGAAAACTGGACAATTCTGGAAAAAACATAAGAGCAGTATAAATGCAATGGAGATAAGACATCTAAGAAGAATAGTTGTAAAGATCAAATGAGATAGATTAAGCAACAAGAGACTATTAGGAGAATAGCCAACCAAGAACCAATAATGAATAAAATAGCACAGAGACAAACAAACTGGTATGAGCATCTGATGAGGATGCAACCCAACTGAATTACAAGAAAAGTCCATGAAGCAAGGAACATTCTAAAAAGAAAAATAGGCAGACCAAGAAAAAAAATAGAGACAGCAAGTCGTAGTAGCGTGAAAAGTTAAACAAATATCACTCGAGAAATTGAATATAATGGCAGGAAAAAGAAAAAAATAGAAGAGATGAGTAAAGGGAAATCAAAATAGCTAGCCCAAATCCAACAACCTGATAGGGTAAAAGAAGGGGAAGAAAGAAAGAAAGAAAAATAGCTTAAGCTAATAAAAAAACAAATAAAAATATTAACAAAGCAAAGTAAAAAAATAAATAAAACTAAAAAAAAACTAAAAGATAATAAATTTTCCGCTTCAGCTTTTCTCTTTTCAGGGATCGCTGTTGCTTAACATTAATCGCCACTCATTTTTGTCCATCTTGTCTTCTTTATTTAAATCTCTCTCTTCTAAGTCCTCTTTCACATAGTCCATTTATATTCTCCTCGGGTTTCTTCTACCTCTCTTCCCTTTAACTTCTAACAGCGCTGTCCTTGATTCTATCATCATCATTATCATGATCACCAATTAGGTGAGGCGCATCTACGGTCGTCTGGTGATGCGAATTCAGCTACCCGGTACAGTAGGGGTAGAGGGGTAGGCTTCATACAACCGGTAATTATTCTACATGTTTCATTTACCGCCGTGGTGACTTGTTGGTTGTGTCTAGATCTACCCCAGACGGGACCAGCATATTTCCCTGTTGATAAACATAAGGCCTCAGCTGTTGACAAGACCTGGGGGTTTGCACCCCACTTGCTCCCTACAAGTTTCCTAAAAAGGTTGTTTCTTGTAGAAACCTTTTGTCTTGTGCTCTGCCAGTGAAATTTATACGTTAGTGACCGGTCTAGTATCACTCCAAGATATTTGGGCCTATCAGTATGTTTTAAGCGTTGTCCCTCCCAAGAAACATTCAGTTTTACATGCGTCAGTTAGTTGTTGAGATTGAATGCACATACTTGGGTTTTAGTAGGGTTTGTTTTTAATGAGTTTTGTTTGTATTAAGTTGACATCATATTTAAAGATACTTCCATTGTCGACTCTACTTGTGTGAGTGTTTACCCCTTTACAGCTATACCAAGGTCATCAGCGTAAACAAAACTCTTAGTCTGAGGATGCATTGGTTGGTCGTTGGTGTAGATGTTAAATAAGGACGGCACCAGAACGCGTCCTTGAGGTAGGCAATTTTTTTGGGTTCTTTATCTGCTCCTCTTTCTATTTAGCACAACATAGAAGCGTCTATTATACAACACTGATCTAATGGTATTTACCAGGTCATAGTCAAGCACAGTGTTATAGATCTTAGTGAGCAAGGTTGTGTGGTTTATCGTATCATAGGCCGCTTTGAGGTCTATCAAAGCTACTTCCACTATCTCTTTCTGCTCAAATCAGGTTTGAAAAATATTTTGGGAGCTTTTATAGCGCTGTATACGGTTATTCCCAGGGGCCTATGTTTTTTATCAGTTAAAGCGTAGCCCCAATGAACATTATGACCAATCACCGAGAATAAGTCTGGTTTTTTGAGAAGCGAAATTTTTTTAATAGGAGAAAACAATGTCTCTCCTGGGTGGTTTATACACAGATGTCACGGTGCAGGCTTCCATTTCGACGGCCATAATTTCAATGTCGTTGTTGCATGTTTTTTTAGCTGATGTTACATCAATATCTCTTCTCACGGAGATAGTGCTTCCACGTTTTGCACTTGGATATTCAATGATAATGCATTCCCTCAACTCTAGGTCTATGTGCTATGTCACAGTGAGTCTCTTGTATACATAATATATCACATTTATGGATTTAGTACAGTTCAGACAAAATTTACTGTTTATTACAAGTAATATCCTCAATGTTTATGGTCATCATTTTCAGTGTAGGCTCTGAGACGAGCTGTTGATTCTCGTTTGTTTGTTCTAAAATTCTACTTCGAAACACTTACACTTAGAAACGAAGTAATCATTATAACTGTTTTTTAAGTAGATCTTTTGTATGAATTGTATTTTTCTGTAAAATTTAAAAAGGTCTAAGTCAAAAATATCGATTTTTTTATTTTAAAATCAACAAATTAACGTACTAAAAGTATTTCAGTACGTTAAAAAACTAATAAAAAGCGGTTGAATTTGAGAATTAATTTCAAAATAGAGATGAAAAACAGTCGATTTCTATTACTTTTCATCGATTCTTTTAAAGTATTAAAATATGTATAATAGTATTATTCCTTTTTTTACTATTATATTATACCCTTTTTATATTATTATATATTTTTTATAAAGGTATGAATGTATATATATATATATATATATATATATATATATATATATATATATATATATATTATTGTGATATTTAAAGTCTTGGTGCGCCAAGCAATTAATTAGCTAATTAATTAATTAATTAACTAAAATTATTTAAATGATATGATTATGACTCTATCACAATTTTTAATTCTCTTATCTCAGGGTTAAATTCGTGCTTCAATATCTATGCTATTACATGTGAAAGGTAACGTCCAAAGAATACCGGAATAATAAAAAAACATATAGAATCTAACGTTATATATTGAAATAAAATAATGAAATAAAATTCACACTCAGATGTTTTCAATAAACAAAATCTCATATAATGATTCTCAAAATTTTGTTCTACGTACGTGAACCTTCAAAATTAATGGTACAAACAATATTAGTTGAAATCTCAAAATCCAAATATTATTCTAAATCTCCTAATCAAAATATTTATATCCTTTTTTAATTATTAAGTGTAAAAAAATCAATAAAAGAAAAACTGCAGAAAACAAACTATCTCTCTCTGATGATGAGTGGTCCAAATCCTTGTTCCTTGTAGACTATACTATTTACTCGTAGCCGCTCCCTAGGTAATCAGCAATCTTACAACAAATTATTGCAAGTTTATCGTCCTTAATGATCTCCTTCAAATGCACGAATCGTTCAAATTATGCTAGCTTCTTCTTCTCTCAATAAACTGAATCTCTCGTTGGCCTGAGTGAAAACTGACTCTTGGAATATCTTTTCTTTTGCGATAAACTGAATCTCTCGTTGACCTGAACAGTGACTCTTGGAATATAAGTAGAAAATATAACTTACAATCTTTTACTGGATCAGCTTCTGTCAGATACACTAACTACACGAAAACTCACAAACTTTCACTGATACTGCTTCCTACCTCTGGGAAACTACCCGAGAACAACGGCCGTTCGCCTTCTACCCTTGGAAACCAACTGACTATCTTTTTTATTTCAAAAACTAACTAAAGTCGTATTCTTAAACCAATCATCCCACCTTTTTCAATCTCATCCAATCAAAACGCTTCATACATCTCCCATTTCTTCATTTCGATAACACACAAATTTTTACCTACAATTATAAAATTTCCTAAAACTATTTTACAAAATAATCTTTTCCTACCAATTCCTAAGAACTAACAAAAACATATCTTTCTAGAATCTATTCTATTGTCCTAATTACTGCACAACATTTATTTGGAAAAACCGCTTCAATTGTCTATGGATTTCACTTAAAATTATGCGGGTCACTCAAGTATATTATAACAAAGAAAATAATTTATGCATAGCTTACGTTTTGTTCAATATAAGTAATCCAAAGATAAAAGGACTTTCATTCTTCGAAATGTTTGTCGTTTATTAATTCGACTTATCTGAATTATTTTAATTATTTGAACTTTGAAATATTTTTAAACAAACCGATATTTTCTTGATTTTATATATCATAACAATATATATATATATATATATATATATATATATATATATATATATATATATATATATATAAAAAATTAATTAATTACTATTTAACTGGGAAATAAGTATAACAGTATTAATGTTTTTTTACTATTACACAACACACACAAAACAACAATTCTCAATACGTAAACAAACTTCAGTTTTTATAGGCTGACAGATATTTAGAACTATGTTGAACATGGCGAATCTCAGACAGAAATTTGGATTGACAAAACCTTTCGTTTCGCTTCTTGTTAGGTGATGTATTCTGTGCCAGCACAATCCGTCATTATTGATTTGTTAACAAAAAATAGTTCGGTCCCTTGGTTTTGCCAAGGCCAAAAACTTTTTTTGGCTAAAAAATAAGCAAATAAAAAATAAAAAAAAAAAGATAATTAAGCAAAAAAATAAAAGAAAAACAAACAAAAGAAATAAGTAAATTAAAAACTAAAAATAAGACTGAAAAAATATACAATAAAACAGACACCAAAGATTTTCAATTAAAAGAAATAAAGAAAAATATCGATATTAAACATCTTACACTTACATAAACCCTAATTGTTAATTTGTAAACAATAATAGTCCCTTACCATGGCCAAAACTACAAAAAAATTGATTTTTATTAGTTTTAGAAAATTAATCCAATTAAGCCAATGGGAAATTAATTCAGACTGGTATTTGATATTTAATTTATAATTATAAAATATCTTTAACCGAACAAACTGAACAAGCAATTATTTATTTAAAAAAAGCAAAAAATCCAACAGCAATTTAACCAATTCTGTTCGTTTTCAGCCTAATCAACGACTTATTTATTACACCATTCACATGCGGAGTGGCAGCTGGTAACGAATCAGGTGCTACTGAGACTAAACTTGGACAATACCCTTGGCTGGTTGCTTTGTTCTGGCAGAGGAGATTCAGTTTCAACTACAAATGCTCCGCAACATTAATTTCAGATAAACATGTCCTGACCGGTAATATATTTCACACTTTAATTGCATGAAATTGTAAACTAATGAAAAATATATAAATACATCTGTATTAACTGTATGGATAAGAAGAATAGAACAGGCATAGCAGAAAAAATTGTTTTATTTAGGTAAATCAATGATATAAAATATAGTTCCAGCCCATCTTCAGGTTCCCTAGTAAATGTTATTTAACTACTAAAAAAGAAGAAATAAGTACTACAGTTTTTATAGATTTCTAAGTATATGTTATCCCAATACCAAAGCTAGTTTATTAGATATAAGTGTGTTTATACTATACAAGTATACTTACATAACGGAAAAATAGCAAAGAATAAAGTAAGAACTCTATTTGTACGATTCTGAAAGAACAGAATATCTTAAGGAAATACATATATAAAGAGTAAACAGTATATACAAGTGTAGAAATTGTTATAATAACCGCCCGTTTTATTTAATCTCGCTATATTATATTCTTCTTCTTTGTATTCCGTCTCCTCGTCAGAGGTTGAAAATCAATATGGCGATTCTAACTTTATTTCTGTTCTAAACAACTCAATTATTCAAAGTAAATCCAAACCAATCACGCAAGTTTAAACCAGAATGTTTTTCTTCTTTGTTTTTATGATGCTGATTATTTCTATATTTTTTCCTTCTCTGAAGAAATTCTACATTCCTTACTTTGCCAGTCCATGATATTTTTAACATGCGGCGGTAACAATATCTTCTAAAGGCTGCAAGTTTATCCACTACAGTTTTCCTGAGTGAGTTTTTCTAAGAATTTGAAAGATAGAGGTAGTATTGGGCTTAAGTTTTAGAATTTTGGGAATGACCTAATGGTTATTCATTGATTTATATACACAAAAAAGACGACTCTTTCGTAGCAGCAGATTGCTATATTATTTGTAAGCTGGTAAAATTCTCCCCGTAGAGACGAATAAAATGTTGAGAAAGATTTTCTCTGTTAATAAAATTAAACCTAAATTTAAGATTAATACTACTACAAGAACTAATATTAAACTCAACAGTCCTCCGAGTTGAACCGCGTGGATTATCATTGCGCCAAGCTTTCGACATCCTCTACAATGTCTTCTTCAGGACTTCTGAGATCTCATAGACTGGAGACTTCCACGTTTATATACTACGTTTTGGTATATTAAAAAAGGTTTTTGTGACAATAAGTTTTTTATTTTGACAAAATTCTACCTTGTCACCGCATCATCGTTGAAATCGCCCGTTATGAGGTTAATTTCCTGGTATTTCGTAGTTATTATTGCTGTGTTTAGCTCTCTATAATATTACGTCCTTATTTTTGTGTGCGTTTGCAGCCTAAATTTAAATAATCTTAAGACAGACGTACTTTGCTCCGTGTTTCAGGACCGTTACTTGATCTGACAGGGACAGAAAGTTGACCACAGATTCGTCTACGATAACACCTACACCATAACGATGTGACGGGTTGTTGTTGGCGAAAAAATATATTATACTATTTTATTGGCCATCACTGAGATCCAATATTGTTCTGAAGCTATTTTCTTGTGGCATTTTAAATTAATTGCTGTTTAACTGGGAATAAGCCACAATTAAAGTTAAAAATACGTTTATTGACGTTTCAATTTCCACTTCGGAAATCGTTCTCAAAATACAAACAGTAAATTAAACAAATTTTTTTTTTGTTTGTATTTTGAGAACGATTTTCGAAGTGGAAATTGAAACGTCAATAAACGTATTTTTATCTTTAATTGTGGCTTAATCCCAGCTAAATAGCAATTAACTGAGATCCAAGATAATAAGTTTGAGTCGTATCAGTACAGCTACCATATTCTCCAGTTTTCCTGGAACGTGTAGACGTTTAATGCTCCAAGTAGCAACTTTCATTATTAACCTGGAGATTCTTAGCACTCTTTGATCATCTTCGGCCAGGAACTGAGGACCTGTGTTAAAGTTTGCTAAGTCATGATTTATTTTACGAAAAAAAAATGTGAAGTGGTTTTCCGCTGCTTTCTTTATTACATTAGATTAACTGTTTACACTGCTATAGTCGCACTTATGCTTCTTCAATAATTAACCGATTCAGAAATAGGTTCTTTAAGCTTCACATTGGTAATGAGAATAGCTGCTGCCCTATTTTATTTGCTTCTAATCCAAGAAATTATTCATAACCGGTTTTTTTCTTCTTCTTCTTCAGTGCCTTATCGTCCGGATGATGACGATTATCAAGGCTATCATGGTTTTGTTGATTGCTTTGCGAAACAGCTGCGCGGAGATCATCCCAAATCATTGTAGTAGGTTTTTAAACCACATCCCGGTGTCCCGGTCCTCTCCTGCCAAATACTTTACTCTGTATAACGAGTTGAAGAATTCGATATTTTTATTTGTTCAACATCACGTGGCCAAGGTGCTCAAGCTTACGTTGTTTCACTAAATTAAGCTTTCTTTTTCTTTTGTCATTTGTTGTAGGACCTCAACGTTGGTGACATGGTGCACATACGATATTTTTAGTATCCTCTTGTAGATCCACATCTCAGCAAGGATCTAAACTTGATAAATGTAGACCGTGTCATTTCAATTCTGGATATAATCTCTTTAGCGTAGTCCCATTGTGAGTTAAGGGTAGTTCCGAGGTAAATGAATCTGTCAACTCTCTGGATATCTTCGTTACCTTTTTTTTTCTTTATTTAGTTTTCTTAATATTAAGGTCTATGACCTTAATATTAATATAAGGTATGTGACGGTCACAGTTCTCATTCGATCTAGTAAGGCTTGTAGATCATTTAGATTGGTTGCTAGTAACAAAGTGTCAACGGCGTATTGGATATTGTTGATGTATTCACCGTTCACTCGGATTTCCTTCTTTAACTTTGTGAGGTTTTCAGTAAAAATTTTATCAGAGTATATATTGAAAAGAGTCGGCGAGAGCACATAGCCTTGCCTTACTCCTCAGATGATCTTCACTTGGTCGGTCAGCTGATCTTTGACCTTGACTTGAGCAAGCTGGTTCCAGTATACATTCCTAATGAGCCGAATGTCCTTCTCATCCAATCCTACTCTTTGTAGGGCGGCGACCATCTTCTGGTGCTGACAACGGTCAAATAACTTGGCTTAGCCAATAGAACAAATATAGAATACACAACTGACATCGGGGAAACTCTGAAGTAGGACTTGTAAGTTGAAAAGTAATTTACGTGTACTCATGGAATTACGGAATTGAAATTGAATTTCACCGACATTTTCTTCACATTTCTTATAAATTCTGGCATGTATAATTTTAAGAAAAATATTAAGTGCATGACTTATATGACTGATAGTTCGGAAATATTTGCACGTTTTCGCAGATCGTTTTTTTTTTTGGTAGTGTTACAAATGTTAGAATGAAACAAATCTTTAGACGTTAACACTATCATCATCATCATTTTGGCTTTACAATCCTGTGTGAGTCCTAGCCTCCCCAAGAATTTTTTTCCAGTCGTCCCTATCCATTACCTTCCTCCGCCAAGCACCTATTTCCATATTCCTCATTTAACGTCAACGTAGACGTTAACACTATTATCTAACTAAATATGTACCACTGGAATCTTCCCTGAAGACTGCCTTAGATCGACATTTATACATATACCCAAGAAAAATAAAGCAAATAGATACTCACAGTTCAGATTAATTAGCCTGATGAGCCATTTTCTAAAAATTTTACTCAAAATTGTACATCAACGAATATTACAGAGAATGCTAAAGAAACCTTAGTGACAATCAATTTGGATCTCGTTTAGCTTGTTTAGCTCGTTTAGGGCTTGGTACAAATAAGGCATTATTTGGCCACCAGATATTACTACAAAAATACTGTTTATCTACTACGAAATGGCGTTTGATCGAGTAAAACACAAAGAACTCATAGAAACCCTAACACAACATGGTATAGACCATAACACTGTAGTACTTATTAAAAAACAATATTGGGATCAAATGGCGTCGATCAAAATAGACAATAGTCCGACAGCAGAATTGCCAATAAAAAGAGGAGTTGGTCAGGGCTGTGTACTTTCTCCACTGTTATTTAATATATATTTCAAAAAGATCTATCCAAATCTCCTCGAAAATATTGAAGAAGAAATAAAAATCAACGGAGAACACGTAAATTACATCGTTAGTATACACCGTTAATAAAAAAACAGACGACACCGTTATTATTGCGGATAGTGCTAAGAGTTTACAACGTCTTTTGAATGTCACAACCAGAGAGGGACATAGCTTGGGACTAAATATAAACACAAATAAAACAAAAGTAATGGCTGTTACACTTGCACCAAATGTCGACATTAATATTCCTATTTATAACAAACATATAGAACCAGCACAGAGATTCCAGTATCTTGGTTGCTGGATAACAAGCGATCTTGACCACGATGTCGAAATACGTGCTTGTATAGAAGATGCTAGGTCCGCATTTCAACGAATAAAAAAAATCCTAAATAAACTCTACGTGATCGTTGGATATCCGATACCAAAATAAAAACGTTTATTCCATATTGCTATACGGAGTGGAAACATGGACTCTCGGAACTACAAGTATGAGGAGTATAGAAGCCTTTGAGATGTGGGTTTTTCGAAGGATACTGAAGATCTCTTGGACAGAGCACGTGACCAACAACGTGGTGCTAAGAAGAATGGGTACTGAAAGAGAACTAAATATTGTAAACAAATAGAAAAACGAGTTATCTAGGACATATTTACAGAGCAGAAAAATACAACTTCCTACGATTTATAATGGAAGGGAAAGTGGAAGGAAGAAGAGGTCCTGTAGGAAGAAAATACTCCTGGTTGAAGAATGTAAGAGACTGGACAGACATAGACACATTTGATACTAAGAACAGATCAATGAAGAGAGCAATTTGCTGTAGTTATAGCCAACCTTTAGTAATGGAGAAGGCACCTTAAGAAGAAGAAGTTACAAATGTTGACAATAGCCATTCCTCTGTGATATTACTTTAATCGTATATGGCGTTAAAAAGTTCAATGAACTCCTTCATGCTCACTTCACTCATCACCTTAATAAGTTTAACGGATATTTCGTCAGGACCTGTGGCCTTACTATTCATAGACTATTTTAAAGCTGCTTTCACCTTGCTTTCTAGTATTGACGCAAGTTCTGTCATGCAATTTATTTCTGGGAGATTACATCGGTAGTCCCAGAAAAGTTCTTCGATGTACATTTTCCAGGTAACCAACTTCTCCTTAACTGTCGTCACCAGGTTTTTGCCTTTATTTATGAGAAGGTGTGTGCTTCTCCTCTTGTATTGACAAGTGGCTTCTCGAATCTTTCAGATATTTATATGATCGCGTTTTACTTGGACCTTGATTAGTTTACATTTTTCTTGCATCCATGTTTCCTAGGCTTCTCGAATTTCTTTTGTAATTGTTTGGTTGAATTCTTGGTATTTCTTTGCGTCCTTGTTTTTCATAAATCTACTTTGGTCTATCATCTTCCAGTTCCAGTCGTCCATTCTTTATTTTTTACTCTTGTTTTATTTCTCACAAGTTCTTTTTCCGCATTTAGCGTAACGTCTTGGATATAACTCCATTTTTGTTCTACACTCGGTTCTTGTTGTTTAGCGGTTTCTTGTGTTTCTCTCATTACATCTATAACGTACTGTCAAACTAAGAAGTCTTTTAGAGTGTCATAATCCAGGTTCTGTTTAGGTTTACTTTTGACGAGTTTCTTTAGTTTGAGTTTTATCTGGCCCACTAATGGGTTGTGGTCCGTTGAGACGTCTGCTCCTGGGAAGGTCTTCGCCGAAGTCAAGCTATATTTAAATCTTTTGTTAATGAGAATAAAGTCTATCTGGTTTACGATGATATTGTTGGCTGTATCTGCAGGTGACTTCCACATATAAAGTCGTCTCGAACGAAGTCTAAATCAGGTGTTAGCAGTTGTAAATTCTTTTTACCGACAAAATTGGATAAGTCGGTCTTCCCTTTCGTTTCTCGCCTAAACTGTGACTGACGATGTCCTCTATTCTGCTTTTGCCAACTTTGGCCTTGAAATCACCCATGATGATGGTAAGCTCGTTCTTCTTGGTATATTTTAGTGCTTTTTGTACAAGTCCGTAGAACTAATCAATATCCTCTACTGGCTTTTCTAATGTTGGAGCGTAAATTTGAATGATGTTCGTATTAACATTTATACTTTGCAGCTTTATCAGAATGGCTCTATCAGAGAGAGGTAGCACGCTGATCACAGCCCTAGCGATCTTTTTGGCCAAAATCACCCTTACGCCATACAAATGATGTGGTTTATCGTTTCCCACATAATGTACTATATGCTCATCCACACAGCACTGTCGTGAGTCTGGCCATCTCTTCTCGGTGATTCTCATTAGTGTTTAAATATTGGTAAGGATTTCGTGGGTTGACGACCTGGGAAGCCTTACATTGTCGTGTTCTTTCTCCCCTGTTGGGTCTTGATATCCAAAGTCTACGATGATGAATGAACTAGAGACTATTTATAAAGTGGCTTCCCGTTGCCTTCTTCATCGCAGTATCACAGTTGTTTGACTCATAATGCGAGTGGCGCCTGTGAGTATCTAGAATTAAGTCTACAGGATTTTTTTTACTTTTCCACTGCCTTAATCCAGTAATGAATTACTGCTGCCTAATGTCATGTCCTCAGTTGATCTGCGGGTTCTTATTCGGCTATGCCTTATTCGTACCTGTCATGCATATCTGCAGGAACTTTCTCTATCAGCCATACTAAAGAGCCCCTACTTAATTCAAATCCCCGCCTACAAGCAAGTTGAGACCAGCCACCGTTTTTTCACTTTTTATATATTTTCTTAAGAATTTGCTCTTGCATCTATACCCAGTAATTTGCTTCCTCCACCGGTACTAACCTGACATAATTTAGAATGTACTTATCATTACATAATATATTACTCCAGATATGTAAGACATTTATATCATATAAATTTTGCTCATTAGAGATTTAGCATTGGTAAAATTTATATTTAGGAACCTATAACAACTGTAACGTTTCTTCTTTGTAATACATAATCAAAAGCGTCCTTTTAATACTGCTAATGCTTTTTTTCATATGAATTTGCTCCTGTAATTTTATTCCTGTGAACTTTATCGAGCCAATTTTGGTCATAGTAGTTTTATTGTCTTTTGCTAGACATAATGCTTCGCACAATCTTTATCACAACGTAAAAACAACTATTTCATTTTGTTTTGATTTTAGCTGCACGTTGCTTTCAGTACAATGATGATCAATTAAAAAATATCGCAGAAATATTCCTAGTAATGGGAACCAATAACTTAGACAACTGGAAGACTAATGGAGCCATCACCAGGACAGCTAGTCGAGTGGATGTACATCCCAATTATAAAAAGAATAAAGAATCTGCTCATGGGGATATTGCTATTATTTTATTGAGTAAGGAATTATTAACATTAATTAGTCATATTATTGTTTGGCAAAATTTATTTTGTCTCTTGTATGCGCAAACAAAAAGTGAGACCGCATTACAACAGAGATGGTGAGTAAAGGACAAAATGGAATTTGCTAAACAATAAACATATCTAGTTATAGTTCGCCAAAATCAACAAAAGCAAAACCTAGCATAATGAGAAATGTTTAACGCATTTAATACAAATTCTCTAATAAGACACCAGTGCAAAAACCGGCTACATGCAGTTCTTATAGTTTTGAGAAAAACGAAAAAACCCTTAAGTCAAGTAGTTTTATAAAATTTAATAGGTTTCTAATATTTGTGAAAAACAAAAATCAAAGGCTTTTATATGTAATACTTTTTGAATTTGAATTTTTTTAAATTAATTTTTTTTTAATTTCCACGTTTACGAATTTGCTCCTAAAATCTAGAAAAACTAAAAATTTAAGGAAATAATACTGCAGTCCTAAGCCAAAAGGGCTTATCTCAAATTTTTTGATTTTAATATTATGGTTCTTAAGGACCCCAAATATGATGTTTAACCTATTTTCTAATAGAAAAAGACGCATTTTAACTCCATAGTGCCTAAAAATTGGTATTAAAATTGTATGCATTTTTAAAAAGAATACAAAATCCTACGCCGATTCGACGTATCTCAAATTCCCAAGCGAATATTCTCAAATTTTGTTCTCAAAGATGCGCCTTTTTCGTTTAGGATTTTTGGTAAGTATAAGCACAGTGCGCATTTAGATGCCGTCCAAATTAATTATGTTGTTATATCGTGTAGTTTCTGTGTAATGAGTTCGTGGTGGTAAGAACACACGAGCAACCGGTTATCGGCTGTTTATAACCTAACTTTTATGTGAATTGTAGTAATCATTGTTTCAACAAATTTGTTTTGTCGTGGTGATAAACTGTGAGAGTTACTAAATACAGTGCCTATTATAAAGTTTTAACAGAAGACATATCAGCTACAAGACCCTTTCAACAGGTAAGTAATTATTTTTAATTTTGTTTAGTCAATTAGATCGTATTTTTGGTGAGCATCATGATAGAAAGACATCGATATAGTAAAAAGCGCCTGAGAACTAAAAACGTTTTAAAGTATTTCTTTAAAATTAGGCAGAATCATACTTTAATCATACTTCAAAAGAGGTTATATTTTAAGGTTATAAATATATAATGAAGAGCTTATGCGCGGCCGTCTTTGTCTGAGCAACACTTTTGTCTGCGTTTATTCGTCTGTTTACTATGTACGTTTAATAAGGTGCACATCTTAAAAAAATCCAGAAATAGTTTTTAATATTAAAAATACTTAAAACTAACTTTCCCTTCCCTTTCAGATTCAATGGACATAACACAAGGATTTCGAGGAAAAAAACTGGTCATGTTGGCGCTGAACAAGGAAACTAAACAAGCATTCCAACCCAAGGAAAAAAATAAAAACCGTAAGGTTTCAGGAGATTTAGATTATTATCCGACTGACCTTGATTCGGAAAATTATAGTAGTAGCGACACGGCAAGTAAGTTCAGTGAAGAACTTAATATAAATAACGACATTAATTTAAATAACGACATAAACTCTGGGAGTTGTGTAACAGAAATCGTCTCTGCCATATACGTACAATCAGAAATGCCAGTTCTTCTCGATATTTCTAGGTCTTTTGTGCCAGTTCACTTTGAGGCTCTCGAAGAAGCAGACTTATGCCGCCTTACGTCAGAAGTAGAAAATGTTGAGTTGGAAACAGTGACTGAATTATGTGATCAAATCACGGAAGCAGTCGAGTCACTGATGCATGAACCTATTCAAGACGAGCCTGTTACATATTCTGACGATTTTGTAGAACCCGACGGAACTGAAGTAAATAATATAGCACCTTTAGTTCAATACACTAAAAAGGGAATAGTTTGAAAAAGAAAGAAGTTCGAATTATCAGTAAGTTTCAGAAAAAAAGCTAATCATGAATCACTTGCGAAAAAGCACAGCGTTAAACAAGGTTGTGGAAAAGATTGTTTAAAAAATGTCTGTTGAAGATATCAGAAGAGACAAGAAAATTTTTGAAAAATGAATTTTGGAAAATTTCAAATGATAAAGACAGAAAATCTTTTATTTTACATCATGTTTCATCAAAACCTGTGAAACAGAGAACTACTTAAGGAGGTTATCTCAGTTATCAAAGATATAATAGTTACCACTATACGCTTAAAAATGAAAAAGGAACATCTGAAAATGTATGCAAGTTATTTTTTTTTGACAACACTCGACTTTAATAAACAAAGTGACAAAGTTATCCGTACAGCATTGCATAATGCTAATAATTCTGTAGTACCTGTGGCTGACTTAAGATGCACGAAGCAATCTCACAATAAAATGAACGATCAAGTAATTCGTAATCATATTAATTCTTACAACCCAACTATTTCACACTATCGGAGAGAACATGCACCCCAACGTCTTTACCTTCCAAGTGACCTTACTTTTGCGAAAATTCATTAGGATTTTCTAATTCAATATCCCAATATACAAATTTCTTATGAAAAGTACCGTGTAGTAGCTAAGAAGATGAATATTTCGCTAACAAAGCTTGGACCCGAAGAATGTGAAAGTTGTGAAAAGTTTTCTCTACATTATAAAAGTCACACAAAACATAATATTGACGAAACCTGTGATAATTGTAACAGTTGGAAAAACATAGACAAAGCAACAAAGTCGCGTGAAAATTACAGAGGTGATGGTAGTCAACCAGATGAACCAGGTAAGATTATATACTGCGCAGATCTTGAAAAAGTTATTATGCTGACAAGACTAAAAACATTTATAACTGCAATTTTCACAAACAGAGTAACAGTTTATAATGAAAGCTTTGTACCAATTGGCAAAAAAAGCATGACAAAACGTTTGCCGATGTTTGGCTTGACGCCTTGTTTAAACGCAGTAGAGATTAATTAATAAGCACATTTTACCAGTTTTGTTTTGTGAAGAGAGACCTTTTCAAAATAACATTATTGCTTAATAATTGCTCTGCGCAAAATAAGAATTGATCATTCTTTTTCATTTTTGCTATACATTGTTAATTCTCATGAAATTAATGCTAATGAAATTATTATACCATATTTCGAGCCCGGCCATATATTTATGGCCGCGGATTCATTTCATCACAAAGTTGAACTGTCAATGAAAAAGATGGGCAACAAACTATACGATATTGCAGATTTTGTTCAAGCCGTAAAACATTCCGCACAGCAAACTGAAGTTCTGCCAATAGAGCTACAGCATTTTTTTGTTTGGGAGGATTACACCTCGCAATATAAACTCAGTAAAATTACCTTCCGGCTATATCTGAATAAAATAGTCCAAGTATCTGTCCAAAGCGGTTCCCATATTATGACATACCAAGATGACTTCGATGGTCCAAAAATTGCACTCGATTTTCTTACTGAAAAAAATTACAAAAAATAAAATACTGCCCCCACCAAAAAACAACAAAAAGTCCTTGGAATTTCATCTAAAAAGAAAGAGTTAATAATAAAAAACCTCGGTGCAATAATGAAGAACAACACATGCCTCATTTTTGGAAAGACCTTCCAGTTTCCCAAGACGATGACTCAATCTAAAATGTTAGTATTTTGTTGTAACCTGATATGTTAAACTTATTCACTTTCAATAAACCTTTGTTTAAAAAGTATGTAATAAAGCTGTTCATTTCTTATAATCACCTATATAATAATAATATTAGCAAAATGACGGATCTAAAATTTGTACTAAAATCCTAAACGGCATAGACGCATTCTCATTTTTAACTAAAAAGCACTTTCTAGACAAATAAATCTTTAAAATTATTTATTACTCAAACACATTATTACTACAAATAACTAAAAAAAAATTAAAAATGAAATAAATATGAGTGCTGTAATATTAAAAAAAATGATAAATCAAAATAACTCAAAAACATAAAATATTGAGATGCGTCTTTTTGACTTAGGACGGCAGAGTAACATACTTTAAAGTAAAACATTGCAAAAATTATGTGATTTTTAATAAAATACAAAATGGTGGGTAAATATAATGTATTTTAGTCATAGTCACTATCTGCATCATTTTGTTCTCGTGTAATAGCGTCGAAAAAAGGAAGATAAACAAGACGTACATATTTTTTTACTATTGGCATAATACTGTTGTATTTCTTTCATTTAAATGGGAGTTTTTCTTTATATGCCAATGGAATCGTATTTAGGTCTATGAATGTACCTGGGTTTTTAAATAAATGTTAACAGGTTACACAAATAGGATTGTGAGATTCTGTAACGCACACATTTTCTGGCATTGTAGAATCATAAATAAATATTCGGTATTTGGAAATTGTAAATGGTTTTTCTTAACAAATGAAGTCTTTTTAAAGTGTGCCTACAAAAATAAGTTAACATTAAAAATCATTTCTTGCGTAACACGCTCAACAACAATTTTTTTACCACAGCTTTCTACCATAGAGTACCACTCTTCAGGCAAATATAATATTTCTTTTTTGCGTTTTTTTTGTTTCATAGTACCAAAGTCACGATCACATAGTAGAAAGCTATGACCTGGCTCAGGAAAATGATGTACTATTTTTAAAAATCGTTTATTATCAACCAAAACTGTTAACACATGAACCGTTACAATTTTTTGTTTTGACCTGCGCAGTTGTCAGAAAATATATAAATGGTTTTTACTTGGTCGCTTATATATTTTTTAATAGAATGCCATAGTAAATACAAGGTTCTCTATGCAATAGTCTTTACGCAAAGAATATCGGCAAAAACATCTTTCGAAACAGTGGCGCACTCAGGGAAGATTTTGGGGTTAACCCCCCCCCCCCCCATGGGCATATAAAATAAGAAATATATAAAGAATAGTAGGAACATGTTTCTTGTACCCATCTATTTCTCTACGCGGACGATACTGCTCTCCTGACAACAGGGAGTGGCTACGTCCCCTTGACTACCC